AGAGGGGAAGGGAAGGAGAAAGAAACATTGATGTGTGGTTGCCTCTTACATGGCCCCCACAGGGGACTTGGCCTGCAGCCCAGGTATGTGCCGTGACTAGGAATTGAACCTGCAACCCTTTGGTTTGCAGCCTGTGCGCAATCCACTGAGCTACACCAGCCAGGGCTAAGTAAAAGTTTCTTAAAGAAAGTTTAATTTTATCCCTGGCTGGTAAGGTTTAGTGGATTGAGTGCTGGCCTGTGAACTGAAAGGTTGCCGGTTCAATTCCGGTCAGGCCACGTGTTTGGGCTGCCAGCCTGGTTCCCCCTAGCAGGGCACATGCAAGAGGCAATTAGTTGATGTTTCTCTTGGATGTCAACGTTTCCCTTCCTGTCTCTCTAAAAATGTAAATTCTAAACAAAAATTTAACTGAAGTGTCAGTTCAAATGTCAGACCACCCAGGGCCTTCTAATGGAACTTACCTGCTGTGATGGTGGACCAGTCTCACCTGTCCACTGCAGAGGGGTGAGCTGCTGGCCCCATGTGGCTAGAGAGCGCTTGAAATGGGACCAGTGCAGCCAAGGAACTAAAAAAAAAATTTTTGTTCATTGATTTTAGAGAAACGGGTTTGTTTTTCCACTTTTTTTTTTTTTTAAGATTTTATTTTTAGGGGAAGGGAGGAAGAAAGGGAGAGAAACATCTGTTGCCCTCCTGCACGTGCCCCAGCCAAGGACCAAAACCCACAACCCAGGCTTCTGCCCTGACCTGGAATCAAACTGGTGACCCTTGGCTTTGTTGGATGATGCCCTCTCAACTGAGCCACACTGGTCAGGGCTGTTCCACTTATTTATGCATTCATTGGTTGGTTATTGTATGTTCCCTGACCAGGGATTGAACTCGCAACCTTGGTGTATTGGACCATGCTAACCAACGAGAACTGGATTTTTAGTTTCACTTTTCATTTCCATGGTCTGATGGTTTTGGGGCTGCCGTATTGATTAGTGCAGACTTGGAAAACAAGTTGTCCCTGTTTTCATGGAGGTCATGGTCCAGTGAGGAAAGCCACACTTAACCACTCAAGTTCTGGTTTGGGTGTTTTTTAGTTGTTGTTATAACAACAAAACCTGATAGGTACTTGATTTTTATTTTAACTTTAAGACATTTAATTTCAGATCAAGATCTAATTAGAATTTCTAAATCTTCCTTGGGTAAGCAACACCCTAAGTATATCGTTAAGACAGTCTAAAACAGTGATGGTGCCTCTTGGTGGGCATTCTGAGTTGTCACAAACGACAGGAGACCCACCAGCATTTACAAGGCAGGAACCAGGTGTGTTGGATGTCGAGGTGTGAAACAGCCCTCCCAGCCCCGGAATTGTGCAGCCTCTGGAGCCCTGGCATCCTTAAAAAGTCCCGCCAGATCATTGCTGTTGGTGGGGATTTTTTTGCTGTTACCAACCATTGCTTAACACTATAAAATACACTTTGGGATAATTTCACAGCTACAGGGAAGTTGCAAAGATGTTAGGTAACATATTTGCATAACCACTGCATTTGTCAGACGTCACAAACATTGGTACATTACTATTAAATGACAGCTACTGTCCTTTTCTGTTTCAGGATCCAGTGCAGGATACCATGTTGCATTTTATTTTGCACATTTTGAGTAGTCATTTTGCCAGGGATGTGACTAAGTTGAGAGAAGTTTGAACTGCATTTGGGTTAGAATTTTTAACCAGTTCTAAATTAACTGGTGTCAGTGCCACTTAAATGTGGATCATTATTACAGCCCCTTTATGTTGAAGAGTTTTTATTATACTGTCACATTCACGATGATTCTATTCATAGGAGCTGACACCTGGTGGCTTCATTATGTCTTGTGTAACAACACCTGAGCATTGTTCTGTTTGTGTACTGCTTTCTACATGTATTTGTTGCGTTTTATTTATTGGCTTTAATTGTGTTATTTTGTGGCTGCTCTAGGTTAGCAATTCTCAACTTTCTTGGTGCCAGGATCACTGTGCTCAAAACATTGGGGACCCCAAAGAGCTTTTGTTCAAGTGGGTATATCTACTGATACTTACCATACTTGGAAATTAAAATTGAGAAACTTAAAAATAGTAATTGTTTTAAATATGATAAACCCATTACATGTTAACACTTTGGGGGGGGGGACCTATTTTTCAAACAAAATGCAGTGAGAGTAACATTGTTCTACATTTTTGCAAGTCTGAAATGTAAGGCTTAGAAGATAGCTGGAGTCTCATCTGCTTCTGTATTAAATCTGTTCCAGTGTGATTTGGCTGAATTATAAGGAGGGAACCCACCCTCAGTTATCCCATACTTGAAAAGGCAGAAATCGTTCAATATTAGTTTTCAAATTATTATGGATATTCTCTGATATAACACCAAAACTCAACGAGAGGTAGTTTTTTTTTTTTTACCCCCCCCCTTTTTTTAAAAAGATTTTATTTATCTTCAGAGGGGAAGGGAAGGCGAGAGGAAGAGAATATCAATGTGTGGTTGCCTCTTGTGAGTCCCCCGCTGGGAACTGGCCTGCAACCCAGGCGTGTGCCCTGACTGGGAATCGAACCGCAATTGTGTGGTTCACAGGCCCATGCTCAAGCCACTAAGCTACACCAGCCAGGGCCACTGGTTTGTCTTATACTCTGAGTGAGTCTTCCCCATGCACAATTTGGTAACATCAAGTGTTGACTTTTTGGAAACACTGGTTAACCAAGTTTGCAGCTGCTTGGGATGTCTGACACATTTCATTAGACACTTCTGAAAAGTCACATTTGTTAAATGTGTTAAGCAGGTTTTGAAAAAAACTTAAATTTTATTCTTAGAGTGGGGAAAGGAGGGAGAGTGAGAGAAACATAAATGTACTAGAGAATTGTGATCTGTTGCCTTTCACACCCTCCAACTGGGGACCTGGCCTGCAGCCCAGGCATGTGCCTTGACTGGGAATCGAACCAGTGACCCTTTGTTTCGAAGCTAGTACTCAATCCACTGAGCCACACCAGCCAGGGTAATTTTTAATATTTTGCTTGAAAGCTCAAATTTTGCCATTGGCAAACAGTACTGTCCGTTGTTATCCTTGAAGTGACAGGCTCAATTTATTTATTTTATTTTTTATTTTACTTTTTTAAAGATTTTATTTATCTTTAGAGGGGAAGGGAAGGAGATAGGAAGAGAAATATCAATGTATGGTTGCCTTTCGTGCATCCCCTGCGGGGAACTGGCCTGCAGGGAACCAGCCTGCAACCCAAGCATGTGCCCTGACTGGGAATCGAACCACGATACTCTGGTTCGCAGGCCCACGCTCAATCCACTGAGCTACACCAGCCAGGGCATTCGATTTATTTTTTTAAAGCAGTTTTTGGATTTTAAACCCTCACCCAAAAATATGTTTTACTGATTTTTTGGGGGGTGGGGAGGGAGGGAGGGACGAGAGTGAGAAACATCAATCGGTTTCTCCCACATGCACCCTGACTGAGGATGGAACCTGCCACCTAGATATGTGCCCTGACTAGGAATCAAACCCACAACCTTTTGGTGTACAAGACTATGCTTCAACCAACTTAGCCACCCAGCCAAGGCTTAGTTGGTTCATTTCTAAGAGAATCCCTGCCAAATACACAAGTCGGCATTACCACAATTTGTCAATTTTTTCAAGTAAAAATGATATTCCATCTCCTAAATAAGTGTGGGCTGTGCATGAGTAACTCTTCCAAAGAAAATAGTGTGGAAGGGGAGGGTGAATAAAGTAACTTTAGAAATCTGACAAAGACATCTAGAGCCTGGTGACCAAGTTCAACATCAACAGTGATAAGTCAATTTAACTGTATGGACCCTGGATATGATGTGATGAAAATGGTACTTTACCTGTGGTCTAAAACCCATCACTTCAGTCTAACGAGAAAAACAGACATCCCAATTGAGGAGAAGTCTACAAAATAACCTGACCAATCTTCAAAACTGTCTAATCAAAAACAGGGAAGTGAGAAAACTCAGCCAAGAGGAACCTAAGGACTTGTGACAACTAATGTTTCTGTTCTGGGACAGAAATAGGGCAGGAAAAACCGGGAATCTGAATAAACATGGACTTTGCTTAATAAATATGTGTCAATACTGATTCATTAATTGTAAGAAATGTAATGTATGAATGGAAGATGTTATAATAGGGGGAAACTGGGTATTGGAGAAGGTGCTGCTTTATCTGTGTGCAGGGGAGTTGGACGAGTGGAGGAAAGCGATCTCCAGGCATAAATGGCTCATGCCATGACCTGGGGTAGGAATGAAATGTTTGAGGTCAGAAGGCAAATAGAATTGGAATGGAGTGGACAAGGGAGAAGAGCAAAATGTTAGGGCAGTCGGCCAAGGTCAGAAGACACAGGATCTTGTGTCTGATGGTATCTTAGGTGGTTCAGCATTGGCTTTGGGTCTACCTGGGAATGAACTTCAGCTATATCATTTACTGCCTATGTGATTTTGGGTGGGTTACTTCTCTGGGTATCAGTTTTCCCATCTGTAGGACAGGGGAAATTTTAATATATTTTATCTTCTCAGGTTGCTGATTGGTACATACTAAGGCTCACAGTAAATGCTAGGTATTTTTATCATATATTTTGAGACAAACAGGAGTTACAGAAGGATCCCCAAGCATAAAAGGCAGCACTTGACTGACCTCATATGTGTTTTTATTTATGTATTTGGAATATGGGTAACATTTTACTGCCGCTCAGGAACTAAAGCAGCCCCATGGTCCAGGTCCATCCCAGTAGCTGCCATTACCCGAGCTAGGGCCTTGGATTCCTGTACTTGGCACCTGAGAAAGGCAGGAAAAAGGATGTAGGATTTCAGCATCCCGCCTCCCAGCTTCGGGATACCGGTCAGAAGAGAGCGTAAGTTTGACTGGCGTTCATTGTAGCCAATCATTGCAGCATGAGTGTGTGGGCCAATGGCAAAGCAGCAGCAGATGCGGAAGGCCGAACGCCATAGGGTCTAGGCTTGGAAGACGGCAGAGGGCTGGGTGTCGCGAGCGGCAGGTGCGCTGACGAATGGGCTGTAGACTCCTCCTTCCACGGGAAGGAACTGTCGGAGGCTGTGACGGTGACGTCATCTCAGGTCAGCCCGCGGAGGGACAGCTGTAAGCGGTACTGTAAGCGGTGCTGTAAGCGGTGAAGAGCGTGTGCTGTTCGAGGTCGGCGGGGGTGGGGGTGGGTGGTGTGTGTGTGTGTGTGTGTGTGTGTGTGTGTGTAAGTGGCGGGTGGGGGTGCTTGGGGGAATCTGGGAGGAAGTTTGGGGACCCTTGGCATGACCCAGAAGGAGAAGGGTTTGGGCCCTGGCCTGCGAGGGGCGTGGCGGGCACCGGGATGCCTGATGGGGACATTATGGGGGTCTGTGAAGGGTCCTATCGGAGTTTGCCTTGGAGGTTGTGCGAAGGTTGGGGGCGAAGGACAATGTAGAAGGCAGATTGGTCCTTTATGGAGACCCGTTTGGGATGAGGGAGACTGGGGTGGAGGACCCTTGAGAGGAGGGAAGAGGTTAGTCTTTCTGGGTTGGTGAAAGTCAGGAGTAGGTAAGAATGGGTAAGGGGCTTGCAAGAGCTTGGAAGCCATTGTCCAGTTCTTGGGAACTTCAAGATTGGAGGGAGCACACCGCTACGTAGAGTTAAAAAGAGACTGGGGAATGGGTAAAGGCGAAGAGGTGTTGAAGAGGGGATGAAGAGGGGTTGAGCTTGCAGATGGGCAGGGAGTCCGAAGTGTGTTGAGGCTAGAACCAGGAAGTTGGGCAGAGAATGAAGGGCTTTGGAGTTTGGGGGTGTGGAGAATGTGGGGGAACTTTCAGGAATTGGGGGGGATTCTGGGAGAAGCTAGGAGGGAGAGGCAGAGAAAAGCTGGGGCAGTGTGTGAGGCCCCAGATGTGTGGAGGCTGGTGGGAGTTATGGGGGCAAGGTAGCATAGTGGGGCTAACTCCGAGCTTTGGGTTGTTTGGTGTGTAAATGAAATGAGACATGAAAGTACTGGGACTGCCGAAAGTGCTAGGGGAGGGCAATTCAAGTGCTTGGGAAGGACCATGGAATTTCAGCTTGGAGTGATGTGCAACTTATTTTTGGTGAGCAAGTTGCGTTGTTTACTAGGAATAATGGCTATCATCTCACTCTTTCTTCCCTATGACCCTGTCTCCTCCAGGGTCACTAGAAGGGGACTTCCTGAGGTCCTGTCCCCAGACTGCAGTGATTGGGCTTTCACTGGAGCAGAAGGTGCTGGAAGGCAGACGGCCATCATGTCCACATTCAGGCAGGAAGATGTGGAAGACCATTATGAGATGGGGGAGGAGTTGGGCAGGTGAGCAAGACCCTGTGACAAGACTCCAGGGTAAGAGCAAGCCACTTAAAGGTTTTCAGGACAGTGTTTCCCCTCCTGTTCTTTATCATACTGTGCAAGAAGGGGTGAGTCAGAGTATGTGTTGGTGGAATGAGTTTGGGTTTTGGAATGAGACATCCCAGCTGAGAGTTCATGCTGTGACATCCTTTGTGCATTTCCTTTGGGGAGAAACATAGTTGAGCACATATGGCACCTAACACAATGTCTGGCATTTATAGGTATTAGCCAGTTTTGTTGGTAAAGGTCTGTTCTCTTTTATCCTTTCTTATGAGAGGCACTTAAATCTCCCCAGCTTTTGACATTTTCAGGGAAGACCTCCTGTCTGGGCCCACATTCCTGCCAATTGTGTAGTATTCTTATGGGAGAGAAGGGAGGTTTCCCTTGCCAGACAGGCAGCTGATTTCCTGCCTGGCTGGGCCTTGGACCCTCCCCTGAGCTTGTTCTCCCACCGGCCCCAAACCAAGCCAACCAGGCACCGTCTTTTTTTTTTTTGCAGAGCCTGAAACCTTATTTGGTGAGTTTGCTGCTGGCTAGGCCCCATGATGTCACCAGAAGGGAATGTAAATAACTGAGCCCTGCATCAGGCCTTTGCTGAGAGAGTGTTTTAGGCTCCTTTGGGATTCTGAAGTCTCTCCTTTAGGAATTTCCTGTTTAGAATGGTAGTGAATGCAGGCGCCACCCCCCCCCCCCCCCCCAATCTCAACTTTATTGTTGAAAATGTATGAGGCTCTCTTGTTGAGGGTAGTTTGGCAATAAAGAGCAAAATGTCTTATGTATATTACTTTAACTCACTAATTCCACTGTTAGGAATTAATCCACTGGGAATACATACATACATGGACCAATGACCTTGGAGCAGGGATGGTTGCAATCAAGAGTTTATATGAATGGCCTTGGCTGGTTGCTCAGTTGGTTAGAGCTTCTTCCCAACATGCCAAGCAAGGTTGGACGTTCGATCTTCAGTCAGGGCACAATCAAGAAGCAACCAATGAATGTGTAAATAAGTGGAACAAGTAGTTGATGTTACTCTCTCTCTCAAAAAATCAATCAATTAAAAAAAATAGGTTGGTGTGGCTCAGTAGGTTGAGTGTGGTCCTGTGAACCGAAAGATCTCCAGTTTGATTCCTGCTCAGGGCACCGGCCTGGGTTTCGGGCTGGGTCCCCAGTAGGAGGAGGAGGCATGCAAGGGGCAAAGATCCATGATTCTCTTACACATGATATTTCTCTCCCTCCCTTCTATCTAAAAAAAATAAAATCTTTTAAGAAAGCGATCAGGAAAAATAATTTAAAAATTCTTTTTTAAAGTTTTATTTCTTGCCCTGGCTGGTGTAGCTCAGTGGATTGAGCGCAGGCCTGTGAACCAGACAATCGCAGTTCGATTCCCAGTCAGGGCACATACCGGGGTTGTAGGCCGGTTCCCTGCAGGCCAGTTCCCAGCAGGGGATTCACGAAAGGCAACCATACATTGATGTTTCTCTCCCTCTCTCCTTCCCTTCCCCTCTAAAGATAAATAAATTAAATTAAAAAAAAAAAAAGATTTTCTTTCTTTCTTTTTTTTTTTTTTAAAGATTTTATTTATTTATCTTTAGAGGGGAAAGGAAGGAGAGAGGGAGAGAACTGGCCTGCAACCCAGGCATGTGCCCTGACTGGGAATCGAACCGTGGTTGCTTGGTTCCCAGGCCCGAAGATTTTATTTCTTATTTAAAAGATTTTATTTATCTATTTTTAGAGAGAGAGGAAGCGAGGGAGAAAGAAAGGGAGAGAAGCATCAGTGTGTGGTTGCCTCTCACACATCCCCTACTGGGGACCTGGCCAGCAACCCAGGCATGTGACCTTTCTGGGAATTGAACTGGTGACTCTTTGGTTCACAGGCCCTTGTTCAATCCACTGAGCCTCACCAGCCAGAAGTTTTAAAAAATTTTAAGCAAAAAATGGGAAGCCTCTTCAGTGGTCATGATAGCATCCTGCATCTGTGTGTGGAATATTATGCAGCTATTAAAACTGCCAGGCAACCAGGCGACTTGTATAATGTGAGCCACATAGGAAATTTATTGAAATTTAATTGAAATTTTAAAAGCTGTGTCAATTTTAATGATATATTTGATTTAACCTGGTAGATGAACTATTACCATTTTGTTTGTAACCACTATAAAATTATTAGTGAAATATTTTACCACTTTTTTTAATACGAGGTCTTTGAAATCTGGTGTGTACTGAGTACTCACAGCACATCTCAGTTTGGACATGTCTGACAGCTGTCATGTGTTCAGCGATTGCTACCTTGGGCAGCACTGCTCTGTATGGTCTGGAACTTTCTCAGAGATACATGAAGTGAAGGATTGATGTCATAGAACACTGTGCATATTGTGTTGTAATTTGTCTAAATTGTAGGCGTCCTTTGGACATCTGCATTCTACAGTGTTGTTTCTTTTTTTCCTTAAGTTTTTTTTAAAGATTTTATTTATTTATTTATTTTTAGACAGAGGGGAAGGGAGGAAGAGAGAAACATCAATGCGTGGTTGCCTCTCCCGCACCCCCTACTGAGGACCTATCCCCCAACTCAGGCATGTGCCCTGACTGGGAATCAAACTGGTGACCCTTTGTTTTGCAGGACAGTGTTCAATCCACTGAGCCTCACCATCCAGGGCTAGAGTGTCTTTATGTTACTTCCATTCATCTACTAAAGCACCTACAAGTCAGGTGCCATTATTATTCCTATTTTAGATAAAGAAACTGAGGCAGAGAAGGGAAGCAACTTAACTTGCCCAAGGCCGCACAGACTGTGTTCCTTAGTTTAGAGAAAGAGGAAGGGAGAGAGAGACACATAGATTGGTTGCCTCTCACACACACCCTGACCAGGGATCAAACTTGCAACCTAGGTATGTGCTGTGACCAGGAATTGAACCCCACACTTTTGGAGTATGGGACAGTGCTCCCACCAACTGAGCCACATGTGCCAGGGCTGTCACACAGACTGTAAATGGCCAAGCAGGATTCAGGTCTTGAGATGAAGCCTCGCTGGCTCCAGAGCCCAGGTATGCTGGAAGCAGAGGTGGGCGTCCTGCTTTCACCTGCCCGGCAGCCACCTCCACCCGAGGGTCTGGTTTGGACCCATTAGATGTCCAGATGAAGATAGACCCTGTGTGTTGGGAAGTGAGTGTGTCCTTATGCCCCCAACACCAGCCTCCTGCAGGTGTTCACTTCCCGACTCTGAAGCTGGCCACCATAATAAGCTCTCTGTTTCAGAGGCAGGAGTGGCATGGCACTGGCATTCAGTTTTGAGCAGATCTGTCTTTCCTGAACCTAGTTATTGACTGTTCGGGGAATTAGCTGTAGGAATCACTGAGGTGAGGGACTGTGAGTAAAGCAGGTCCACATTTTCCTGTCCCAGGAGCCATGGGGCTTAATAAACGAGGAGGGAGTTTCTTGAGTGTGACGAGGTTCTTTCTTACTAATTCAAGTTCATATCAAATCGTCTCAGGAAATAAATTAATTTGTGTGTCGATGAGTGTGTAGACCTCTACCCTGGCATCCAGGTCATGCAGTGGTATGTGCATCTGTGTCGGTCAGCTCAGGCTGCCATGCAAAGTGCCACAGACTGGGTGGCTGAAATAACAGATATATCGTCCCCCAGTTCTGGAGGCTGGAAGCCTGAGATCACCGCATCAGCAGGGTTGGTTCCCTTTGAGGTCTATCCTCTTATCTTGTAGATGGCTGTCTTTTCCCTATGTGTGTGTGTTTCCTAATCTCTTCTTTAAAAAAAAAAAAAAAATTTATTTATTTATTTTTAGAGAAAGGGGAAGGGAAGGAACAAGAGAGGGAGAGAACATCAGTGTGTGGTTGCCTCTCATGCACCCCTTACTGGGGACCTGGCCTGCAACCCAGGCATGTGCCCTGACTGGGAGTTTAACTGGCAACCCTTTCACAGGCCAGCACTCAATCCACTGAGCCACACCAGCCAGGGTTCTTTCTTTTTTTTTTTTTTTTTTAAGATTTTATTTATTTATTTCTGGAGAACGGGAAGGGAGGGAAAAAGAGAGAGAGAGAGAGAAACATCGATGTGTGAGAAATGCATCTGTCGGTTGCCTCTCACACCCCCCCAGCTGCGGGCCTGGCCCTCAACCCAGCCAAGTGCCCTGCCCATGGATGGGACCAGCGACTTTTTCGTTCACAGGCCAGAGCTCAATCCACTGAGCCATGTCAACCATGGCTCTTATTTATTTATTTACTTACTTACTTTTATTATTTATTTATTTATAAAGATTTTATTTATTTATCTTTAGAGGGGAAGGAGAGAGGGAGAGAAATATCAATGTATGGTTGCCTCTAGTGTGTCCCCTGCTGGGAACTGGCCTGCAACCCAGGCATGTGCCCTGACTGGGAATCGAACCTCGATACTCTGGTTCACAGGCCCACGCTCAATCCACTGAACTACACCAGCCAGGGCGCTTATTTACTTTTAGAAAGTGGGAAAGAAACATGGATGTGTGAGAGATACATCGAGTGGTTGCCTCTCACATGCCCCCAACTAGGACCTAGCCCACAACCCAGGCATGTTCCCTGACTGGGAATCAAACCAGCAACCCTTTGGTTTGCAGGCCAGCACTCAGACCACTGAGCCACACCAGCCAGGGTTGGATTTTTTTTTTAAGATACCATAGCAGCTTCTCTTAACCTGTTCCTATAAGGTGTCTTTGTTGTTTTTAATTGTTAGTTCAGCTTGGAATAAAGCTAAAGGAAAACAACCTTTATATTTGAAAATTAGGCCACATGTCCAGTGCTTAGCCCAACATCCCTAGTATGTGGTGAATATTTGGCATTTGCTGTCATTATCATCAGTGTTTCACTGTGGGATGGAATGTGGGCCTGGAAGAATGAGCTTGCATGTTGGTTGTGGGGAAGGCGTTTCAGGTGGGAGGCAGGAGCATAGGTAGCTAGGGGACTGTTGTGGTGGATTCAGGGGCAGGGCGTGACCTAATGAGGGACAGGTAAAGTTACCTGTCTCATCAGGGACAGGTTCCTAATCAGGGACACTTTACCTGTGCCCTTGGCTTTTGAGTTAGTATTTGAGCTTCCAATTGCTGCTGTAACAAATTACTACAATTTAGTGGCTTAGATGAATATGTGTCAATTATCTTAAAGGTTTGGTAATCAGGAGTGGAAATGGATCTGCAGGGCTGGTTCCTGTGGGGGCTGCAGGGAGAATTGTTTCCGGCCTTTTCCAGCCTGTAGTGGCTCCGCATCCCTGGCTCGTGGCCCCTTCCTCCATCCTCACAGCCAGCAGTGCCGCCTTTTCCGTCCCACTGACTCTGATCCTCCTGCCTCCTCTTACGAGGACCCTGCGAGGACACTGGGCCTCCCGATAATCAGGATCAACCCCGTTTCAGGGACATTAAGTCCACCTGCAAAGTCCCTTTTGCCACACGAGGACACATGCACAGGTTCTGTGGATTAGGACATGGACATCTGTGGAGGGGTCCCCATCTGCCCACCTTGAACTTCATCCATCTTCTGACCACCTGACTGTGTGCAGAGCATGTGTGCGGTGGCGCACTGTGGGCACTTTTGTTCCTTGGTGCTGCTGAGGACAGTGGCTTAGATGCTTGCCAGCTGCAGGTAGTCCTCTCACCATAGGTAGGTCCGCCTGCTCGGAAAACCCAGCTGGTCCTCCCCACTGCCTCGGCTTCTCTGAAAGCCCCTCTGGGTAGGCAGAGATGCCCCTCACTCATATGTTTGTCACTGTCCTGTCCTGTCCTTCCTCTGCCGCCACCAACTTCAGAGATCCTTCCTGTTCCCAAGGCCCATCTCCACCTATGTGCTCTTGCTGTATTTCCTTGAAATGTCTGTTTTTCCTTGACCTCTGGTGGGGCCTTGTTCAGATTTCCTGCCTGGAACCTGTGCTTTCTGTCTTGGACTTGATCTCTCCATGTAGGTGCCCTATAGGTGCCATGTAGGTGCTCTCCATCTCCCCTATAACCAACCTCTCAAAGTGGGCTCAGCAGACTACGCCCTGTGGGCCACACCTATCCCAAGCTCAGTGCAGTGTAGCCTGTCCATGAGCCTGGAATGCTTTTTTAATGTTTTTTTTAGATTTTATTTATTTACTTTTACAGAGAGTAGAAGGGAAGGAGAAAGAGGGAGAGAAAGATCCATGAATGAGACAGATATCGGTTGCCTTTCACATACCCCAAACTGGGGACCCAGCCCGCAACTTGGGCATGTACCCTGACCCGGAATCAAACTTGTGACCTTTTGGATTACAGGCCAGCTCCCAACCCGCTGAGCCCCTCCAGCCAGTTAATTTTTTAAAGGGTTGTAAGAACACGACAGGAATTGTAACAGAGACCCTGTGGCCTGTATACCTTAAAATCTTTACTGTCTATCCTTTATCAGTCAACTTCTGAGTTAAAGCAAGTCAATATAACTAAGTTCCTAGATAGCAAAAGAGTTTGGACATTGGATAGCTCTCTGGAGTGCAATACATAGAATTTCTCTCTCTTTTAAATAACTGCTATCTTGAGAGATAATTCACATACGGTACAGTTTACTCATTTAAAGTGTACAGTTTCATGGTCTTTAGTATATTCATAAGGCTCTGCAACAATCACCACTGTTTTCAGAACATTCCATCTCCCCAGAAGAAACACTGTCCCCATTAACAGTCACCTCCAGCCCCCTCCCCCAGCCCCTGACAACCACCGACCGTAGTTCCCGTCTCTGTGGATGTGCCTGTCCTGGACGTGTCACATACATGGAACCACACACTCTGTGGCCTTTTGTGTCTGGCTTCTCTCACCGAGCATCGTGCTTTCAAAGGTCCCCCACATTGTAGTGAGTGTGAGAGCTTCACTCCTTTTCCTGATCACATAGTGTTCCCCCGTGTGGAGGGACCACATTCATTCATGTGTTGAGGGGTGGACATTTGGGTTCTTTCCACCTTTGGGCTGTTGGGACTCGTGCTGCGCCGAGCATTTGTGTGCGGGCTTCTGCGTGGACATGTTTTCCTTTCTCTTAGATGCTGGGAGGGGCAGTTAGACGGCGATTCTCCGTTAACCATCGGAGCGGCCACCAGACTTTTCCCATGTTTTATTCCCTTGTGTGTGAGGGTTCTTCTCTCTTGTTTTGAAAATGTGTGCATTTCTTTCACTCTGCCTGTTTAATAGGGAGCTCTTTTTTTTTTAAACCCTCACCCAAGGAATTAATGATTTTAGAGAAACATTGATGTTAGAGAGAAACATCGATTGGGTTGCCTCTCATATGCGCCCTTGGCTAGGGATTGAACCCACAACCTTTTTTTTTTTTTTTTAAGATTTTATTTATTTTTAGAGAGGGAGAGAAACATCACTGTGTGGTTGCCTCTTGAGCGCCCCCCACTGGGGACCTAGCCTGCAACCCAGGCATGTGCCCTGACTGGGAATCGAACTGGCGACCCTTTGGTTCGCAGCCCACGCTGAATCCACTGAGCTACACCAGTCAGGGCCTGAACCCACAACTTTGTAGTGTATGGTTTGATGCTCAATCAACTGAGCCACCCAGCCAGGGCAAAAAGCTCTTGTTTTTTTTTTTTTTTTTTTTTTTTAAAATGATGAAATATGCTTGGGCTGGTGTAGCTCAGTGGATTGAGCACAGGCTGTGAACCAAAGGGTCGCCAGTTTGATTCCCAGTCAGGGCACATGCCTGGGTTGCAGGCCAGGTCCCCAGTGGGGGCCACGCGAGAGGCAATGACACATTGATGTTTTCTAACTCTCTTTCTCCTTCCCTTTCCCTCTCTCTAAAAACAAACAAACAAACAAACAAATAAATAAAATCTTTTAAAAAATGATGAAATACATTGTAAAAAGTTGAATTGGTATAGAATTGTATCAAATGAATAAGAACCCCTCCTTGCTGCCCCCATTTTCTCAATCCCACTCCTCAGAGGTGGACATTGTTACCACTTGGTGTATGTCCTTCAGGCCTTTTTTACTACATATATGTACATAAGCATATTTATGCACACAAAATATACCTTTTTTAAACAAAAATATATTCTATGTGTCAATCTGTAGCTTGCTTTTTCACTGGGTTTAGAGAATTGCCTTCATTCATTTTCATGATCGTGTAAAATTCCACTGGATTCATTTCCATGATGGATTCCAGTTTCTTCTTGGTAAACACTGAGCTGTTTTTGTTTGTTTACTGTTGCAAAAGTGCTGGGCAGCTGTTGTGTCAGCACCAGTCTGCACTCACATAGCATACGCACCGTGTGCATCTCGGATGCGGTGGGGGTGGTACATCTTTGTGGCTCCAGGAGCTGGGGGAGAGATGGTGGCCAGCCGTGGTCCCTCTTGGTGCTCTGATCACCTTCCACCCCCCCTGCCCCTGCAGTGGCCAGTTTGCAATTGTTCGGAAATGCCGGCAGAAGGGCACTGGGAAGGAATATGCGGCCAAGTTCATCAAGAAGCGCCGCCTGTCATCCAGCCGGCGGGGAGTCAGCCGGGAGGAGATCGAGCGGGAGGTGAACATCTTGCGGGAGATCAGGCACCCCAACATCATCACCCTGCACGACATCTTTGAGAACAAGACTGACGTGGTGCTCATCCTGGAGCTGGTCTCCGGTGGGGAGCTCTTTGATTTCCTGGCCGAGAAGGAGTCACTGACAGAGGATGAGGCCACGCAGTTCCTGAAGCAGATCTTGGATGGAGTCCACTACCTGCACTCCAAGCGCATTGCCCACTTTGACCTCAAGGTAAGCCCCACTGGGCACCTCAGGATGGAGCCGGGGACCAGCCAGGCAGGCTGGTGCAGGTGAGGATGGGGGCCCAAGAGAGGCTTCTCCTTTCGTGGGCACAGAATGTACATCCCCTGGATGCAATGATGCTCTGGGAGTTGAGGAACAGACTTGTTCAGGCCTGGAGTCCTGGGGTGGCATCAGCCTGCCCATACCCCACAGTTTGGGAGTGGGGGCTGCCTAGGGAATTCCAGATGCTGTTCCAGGAGATACCTGACCAGCAGAAGCAGCAGATCCCCCTCCCACTGCCCCACTCTCCCCCGCCCCAGCCAGAAAACATCATGCTCCTGGACAAGAATGTGCCCAACCCACGGATCAAGCTCATTGACTTTGGCATCGCTCATAAGATTGAGGCTGGGAACGAGTTCAAGAACATCTTTGGCACCCCAGAGTTTGTAGGTAAGACCCTGTCTGGTGTGTCAGGGACTGGGATTTAGGTAGGGGGCATTCAGGGTTTCTAGCAGTACAGGGTGAATCAGGCCAGCCCCTGGATGCCTGACTCATTGCCCTCAGCTGTGCGGGCATTGGGCAAGGGAAAGCTCAAGACCTGGGCTTGGTGCTACCACCATCCCAGCCTTCCTGCCCCAGAGCTGGCCTGGCCTGTGTGTGCGCATGTTCGTCCAAGTAACCACAGTTATCTCTGGGGTTGGGTGGGCAGGTGTTGTGCTGCTGGTCTTGGCTAAGTCCCCAGTGTGGCCTTTAGATGCAACCAGCTTCTGACCCTGCATTTCCCTTCTCCCTGTCTCCGCAGCTCCTGAGATTGTCAACTACGAACCCCTGGGACTGGAGGCGGACATGTGGTAAGTCAGGAGTAGCCAGGACTGCCCAGTTCTGAGTCCAGCATACGTACCTGCTTCTCAGGAAACCCTTCCCCTGTCATCCCCTGGGGTTGCGGGCTCGGGCATAGCCCATCCCATGGTGTTGTGCTCTGGGGCATGGGCAGGACAGCAGAGTGCAGCCCACTGGCCAGAGCAGACCCGGGAGCTGGGAGTGGTGGCCTTGTTTTTTCTAAGAGTTGTTCAAAGCAAAACACACAAATACGTGACAGACGGTTAGTGGCCCGTAAAGCCTGAAATAATCGCTGTCTGACCCTGTGTAAAAAGAGTTTGCCAGCCCTGCAGGCCCCATAGTAGATCCCAGACCTGCAGGGTCTGTGAGGCCATAGTGCCGTCTGCCCTGCCCCGCTGTGGCTCCTTCGAGCCTTGACAGGAGGGTGTGGCCAGAGGTGTTGATTTTTTTTAAGAGATTTTATTTATTTATTTTTAGAGAGAGGGGAGTGGAGAGAAAGAGAGGGAGAGAAACACTGATGTATGAGAGAAACATTTACTGGTTGCCTCTCACATGCCCCTCAACCAACTGGGGACCTGGCCTGCAACCCAGGTGTGTGTCCTGACTGGGAACTGAAGCAGCAACCTTTCGGTTTGGAGAATGACGCCCAGCACACTGAGCCACACCAGTCAGGGCAAGAGGTGTTTAAATGCCCAGTTTTGAGACCCCCAGGGCAAGAGTAGGGGAGCGGGTTGACCCACCTGCTGCCCTCCTGGCCCAAGAGCCTTGGGCGTGTAGCTTCCCCGTGTGGGCTCTGGGCTCCCGCTCTGGGGGAGTCAGGCTGCCGCACCCAAGGCTGAGCTGACCTTCCTCTGTGTTCTCTTCCAGGAGCATTGGCGTCATCACCTACATCCTGTGAGTACCCAGTCAGCTCTTCCTTTCACCCCGCCGGGCCCTGCCTAGTCAGGAACGTGGGCAGGGAGGGAGGCTTTCGCGCAGGAACTGTGATCGAGAGTGTGGGACCCCCAACACTGCGACCTGTCAAGGTGCCCAGCGAGCTCTGGGTGGACGGATGAATGAGTGAGTGAGCGAATTTGTATAGGAAAGACAGTGTGGTTCTTGTCTCCGGCTTCTGGATAGTTCAGAGGGCACGGCACCCTCCTAGAGAAATGTGGGACCCTGTGCCAGGACAGGATGTGTACCCTCCCTTAGTCTGCTGGCCTGCAGCCGGCCCCTCTCTCTGTGTGAAAAGAGGACTTGACCTTGATTCGGACCGTGCCCCGTCTGTTCCTGTGTCAGGTGTGCTCCCTCCTTTCTTTGCTGCCTTGCCTACCAAATGGGTGTAGCGATCCGAGACCTGAAGTTTTGAGGAGATGGGTTTTTAATAGTTTTAGGGGTTTTTTTTTACATTTTGAGATAAATTTAGACTCTCAGAAGAGTGGCAGAAACGGCATAGAGCTCCGTGGCCCTGTACCGTGTTGTACAAACAGCATTTGTCAACACTGAGAAACTAACTGACAACATGAGCAAGCAGAGTGAGTCCCCAAGTTGTCCGGACGCCACCAGCTTCCCTGCTGTGTTGCCTTCCCGGACCAGGACCCCAGGACCAGGGCCCCAGCCAGCGCTCAGCCTCCTCCTCTCCGAGGGGCTCCTTCGTCTTTCCTCGTCTGTCACAACCTGGATGCTCTTTTTAATTTTTAAATTTAAACAAAAATTTAAATTAAAAAAGAAACGTAATTTATAGTTGATATATAATGTTGTGTTAGTTTCAGATATACAGCCCTGTAATTAGACACTTATATAACTTGCAAAATGGTTACCCCAATAAATCTAGTGCCCATCTGATACTATGCAGTTTTTACAATATTATTGACTGTATCTCCTTTGCTGCACTTTATATCCCTGTGACTGTTCTTTTTTTAAAAATATGTTTTATTGATTATGCCATTACAGTTGTCCCATTCCCCCCCTTCATTCCCCTCCACCCTGCACACCCCCTCCCACACATATTCCTCCCTTTTAGTTTATGTCCATGGGTCATAAGTTCTTCAGCTTCTACATTTCCCATACTATTCTTACCCTCCCCCTGTCTATTTTCTCCCCACTGTTCTATGCTACTTATATCCCCTTCTCCTCCTCCCACTCCCCTGTTGCTAACCCTCCATGTGATCTCCATTTCTATGGTTCTGCTCCTGATCTAGCTGTCCTCTTAGTTTGCTTTTGTTTTCGGTGTGGTTCTTAATAACTGTGAGTTTGCGGTCCTTTCACTGTTCATATTTTTTATCTTCTTTTTCTTAGATAAGTCCCTTTAACGTTTCATATAATTAGGGCTTGGTGATGATGAACTCCTTGAACTTGACCTTATCTGAGAAGCACTTTATCTGCCCTTCCATTCTAAATGAAAGCTTTGCTGGCTAGAGCAATCTTGGATGTAGGTCTTTGGGTTTCATGACTTGGATACTTCTTTCCAGCCCCTTCTTGCCTGTAAGGTTTCTTGAGAAATCAGCTGACAGTCTGATGGGAACTCCTTTGTAGGTGACTGTCTCCTTATCTCTTGCTGCTTCTAGGATTCTCTCCTTTTTTTTTAGCGTCCTCTTTTTTTTTTTTTTTAATTTTATTGATTACGCCATTACAGTTGTTCTATTTCCCCCCCTTTATTCCCCTCCGCCCTGCACCCCCACCCCTACCATTCACCCCTTTAGTTTATGACCACGTGTCTCAAGTTCTTTTGATTCTATATTTCCCCTACTATTCTTGCCCCCCTATCTATTTTCTACCTACCATCTATGCTACTTATTTTCTGTACCTTCTCCCCCGTTCTCCTCCCACTCCCCTGTTGCTAACCCTCCATGAGATCTTCATTTCTATGCTTTTGCTCCTGATCTAACTGTCCTCTTAGTTTGCTTTTGTTTTAGGTATGGTTGGTAATAACTGTGAGTTGCTTGTCCTTTCACTGTTCATATTTTATCTTTTTCTTAGATAAGTCCCTTTAACATTTCATATAATAAGGGCTTGGTGATGATGAACTCCTTGAATTTGATCTTATCTGAGAAGCACTTTTATCTGCCTTTCCATTCTAAATGAAAGCTTTGCTGGATAGAGCAATCTTGGATGTAGGTCTTTGGGTTTCATGACTTGGATACTTCTTTCCAGCCCCTTCTTGCCTGTAAGGTCTCTTTTGAGAAATCAGCTGACAGTCTGATGGGAACTCCTTTGTAGGTGACTGTCCCATTATCTCTTGCTGCTTCTAGGATTCTCTCCTTGATTTTTTTTTTTTTTTTTGAGAGAGGGGAAGGGAAGGAGAAGAAAGAGTGGGAGAGAAATATCAATGTATGGTTGCCTCTCATGCGTCCTCTGCTGGGAATTGGCCTGCAACCCAGGCATGTGCCCTGACTGGGAATCGAACCGCGATACTCTGGTTCGCAGGCCTGAGCTCAATCCACTGAGCTATGCCAGCCAGGGCCTCTCTCCTTGATTTTAATCTTGGCTAATGTAATGATGATGTGCCTTGGTGTGTTCCTTCTTGGGTCCAACTTCTTTGGGACTCTCTGAGCTTCTTGGATTTCCTGGAAGTCTATTGCCTTTGCCAGATTGGGGAAATTCTCCTTTATTACTTGTTTAAATAAGTTTTCCACTGGTGGCTGTTCCTTTTCCTTTCTGGTACCCCTATAATTCGGATGTGGGAATGTTTAAAGATGTCCTGGAGGTTCCTGAGTCTCTCCTCATTTTTTTTGAATTCTTGTTTCTTCATATTTTCCTGTTTGGCCATTATTTTCTTCCTTCTGGTTCACTCCCTTGATTTGAGTCCCAGTTTCCTTTTCATCACTATTGGTTTCCTGTGCATTTCCCTTCATTTCAATTAGTTTAGCCTTCATATGTTCCTCTAATTTGTGACTAAAATCAACCAGTTCTGTGAGTATCCTGATCACCAGTGTTTTGAACTATGCATCTGAAAGTTTGGCTATTTCTTGGTTGCTTAGATTCATGGGCTCTGGGGCTTTGAGATCTTCTTGAGCCATTTTTGGTCTGTTTGCGCTCGTTAAGTATGAGTTGCGGAGCCTTAGGTGTTCACCAGGGTGGGGCCACCCAGGTTGCTGGGTTGTGATGCTGTATGTGGGGGCGGGGTCAGAGCAGGGAAATGGCGGCCCCCTCTGCTGCCTTTTGCTGTTGTGGCCGGCTCGATCCCGTCTCACTGCCCACTCCCTCACTGGTCTATCTGCACATGAATGCAGGACCACAGTCAACCCGCCGCCCTGTGCCCTTGCTGGGTCCGCTGGTCGCTCACTGGGTCGCTCACTGGGTCCGCCCGTTGTAGCCCCATGCCTGGAATCTGTGCGCCTGCGTCCGTCTGACTGAGTCTTCCTGTGCAACCTCGCTCCGCCAGCTGCTGGCTTTGCCCCTCTTACCCGTCAGGCTGAAGAATTTGTTGTTATCAGACTTCCAAAAAGTTCAATTTTCTGTGTTCTGGCCGTGTTTTCTGTTGCTAATATTTTGTTGTCTCTAAAGTTGGTTGTGTGAGAAAGCACGGCGTCTCTACCTATGCCTCCATCTTGGTGGAAGTCTAGGATTCTCTCCTTGATTTTAATCTTGGCTAATGTAATTATGATGTGCCTTGGTGTGTTCCCTCTTGGTCCAACTTCTTTGGGAGTCTAAGCTTCGTGGATTTTCTGGAAGTCTATTTCCTTTGCCAGATTGGGGAAGTTCTTCTTTATTATTCATTCAAATAAGTTTTCTACCTGTTGCTGTTCCTCTTCCCCTTCTGGTACCCCTACAATTTGGATGTTGGAGCGTTTAAAGATGTCCCAGAGGTTCTTAAGCCTCTCCTCATTTTTTTGAATTCTTGTTTTTTCATTCTTTTATGTTTGGTCATTTTTTTCTTCCTCCTGGTTCACTCTCTTGATTTGAGTCCCAGTTTTTTTCCCATCACTATTGGTTTCCTGTGCATTTTCCTTCATTTCACTTAGTTTAGCCTTCATTTGTTCTTCTAATTTGTGACTAAAATCAACCAGTTGTGTGAGCATCCTGATCACCAATGTTTTGAACTGTGCATCTGATAGGTTGGCTATCTCTTGGTCGCTTAGAAGTATTGGCTCTGGGGCTTTGAGCTGTTCTTCTGCTTGAGCCATAATGTTTTGTTCTGTTGGCGCCTGTTACATATGAGGGCTGGAGCCTTAGGTGTTCACCAGGGTAGGGCGACCCAGTTGCTGGGTTGTGAAGCTCTATGTGGGGGTGGGGTCAGAGAGGGAGTGATGGCATTTGTTCTGCTCTCTCTCGGATTTCGGTCCCCTCTGCTGCTTCCCACAAGCAAATTGGGCCCTTCTGGTGCTGGTTCCCGGTGCGTGGGCTTGTGCACCCTCCAGGACCTTGTGGGTCTCTCCAACAAACTCTCTCTGAGCCTGGGAGATTCTCCTGGCACCTCGACCCCCGAAAGTTTTTCCAGTTGGTGCTTTTAGGCTTTAATTCCCGTCTTTGGGGCCCTGGTTTGCACAGTCTGTCTCACTGCTCACTCCTTTGCCTGGTTTATCGGTCTGGCTGAATGGTTCGTTGTCAGACTTCCATACAGTTCAATTTTCTGTCTGTTTTGGTTGCATTTTTGTTACTAAATATTTGTTGTCTTTAAACTTGGTTGTGCAAGGAGGCACAGTGTTTCCACCTACGCCTCCATCTTGGTCGGAAGTCTCCCTGTGACTGTTTTGTAACTACCAGTCTGTACTTCTTAATCCCCTCACCTTTTCCACCTATCCTCCCATCTGGAAACCATCAAAATGTTCTCTTTATCTATGAGTGTGTTTGTTCTGCTTGTTTGTTTACTTTGTTGTTTTAAATTCCACATATACGTGAAATCATCTGGCATTTCTCTCTTTCTTGTGCAGAGTAAAATAAGTCTGTACAATACCCTCGAGGTCTCTCCATATTGCAGATGGCAAGATTTTATTCTTTTTTATGGCTGAATCCTATTCCATTGTATATATGCACCACTCCCTTCTCTCTTTACTTTGATGGACACTTAGGTTGCCTCCATAGCTTGGCTAGTGTAAATAATGCTGCAATAACCATGGATGTATATGTCTTTTTGATTTAGTGGTGTCAGTTTCTTCAGAAAAATGCCCAGAAGTGGAATTGCTGGGTTCTTCTGTGTCTTTTGTTGCAGCCTGTGTTTTAAGGTCTGTTTTGTCTGGTACAAGTATTGCTGCCCAGCCTTTTGTCTGTTTTCACTTCTGTGAAATACCTGTTTCTGTTCCTTTGCTTTCAGGCCGTGTGTGTCTTTCAATACGAAGTTAGTTTCTTGTAGACACCATATGTGAGGGTCAGCCACTGTTTGTCTTTTGATTGGAACATTTAATCCATTTGCATTTAAAGTAATTGTTGATAGAGATGTATTTATTACCATTTTATTATTTCTTTTTTTGAATTAAACATTTTTTTAAGTTATTGATTTTGAGAGAAGAGAAATATCAACTTGTTGTTCCACTTATTTATGTATTTGTTGGTTGATTCTTAGGTGTGCCCAGACCAGGGATTAAACTCACAACCTTGGCATATCAGGATGCCACTCAAACCCACTGAGCTATCTAGTCAGGGCCTTACTATTCATATTTTTTATCTTTTCTTCTTTATCTTCTTAAGGAAGACCCTTTAACATTTCTTGTAATACTGGTTTGGTGGTGATGAACTCCCTTAGCTTTTTCTTGTCTGGGAAGCTCTTCATCTGTTCTTTGACTCTAAGCCATAGTTTGGTTGGGTAGAGCAGTCTTGGTTGTAGGTTCTTTTTTTCTTTTTAAAAATATTTTGTTTATTTATTTTCAGAGAGAAAGGGGAAGGGAAGGAGAAAGAGAGGGAGAGAAACATCAATGTGTGGTTGCCTCTCACGTGTCCCCCACTGGGAACTGGCCTGCAACCTAGGCATGTGCCCTGACTGGGAATTGAACTGTGATCCTTTGCTTCACAGGCCCGCGCTCAATCACCAGCCAGGGCTTGGTTGTAGGTTCTTGCTTTTTATCACTTTGAATATTTCATGCCAGTCCCTCTGGCTGGCAAAGTTTCTCTTGGGAATCAGTTGGAAGACTCATAGGAGCTCCCTCGTAGGTAACTAACTGCTTTTCTCTTGCTGCCTTTAACCTTTGGCATTTTAATTATGATGTGTCTTGGTGTGGGCCTCTTTGGGCTCATCTTGTTTGGGACTCTCTGCTCTTCCTGGACTTGCATGTCTATTTCCTTCACCAGGTTAGGGAAGTTTCCATAATTTTTTCAAATAGGTTTTCAATTTCTGGCTCTCTCTCTTCTCCTAATGGCAGCCCCATGATGTGAGTGTTGGTACACTTGAAGTTGAAAGTAGATGTTCTTGAAGAGTGCAGGTCAGGGATGATTTAGGGCGTCCCTCATTACGGGTCCAACCCTTGCTCGTGATTGGATGGGCTGTGCCTTTCTGCCCTGGGGAGAAGAACGTAGTTCTTTTTCTCTGCTACTCTCCTCTCAGTGCTTCTGTCCCTGCTGGCCACCAGTGTGTGCAGGTTTCTTCCCACGCCAAGCAGTTCTCTGTGACACCAGTGGGGTGTCCTGCACTGAAGATGTCGTCAGATCCTGCAGGTTAAGTGCTCAGACCCACAAGACTGTCCTGTGTTCACATGCTAGTTGCAAATCCAGCCCATCATCTGTCCTTCCGACCCACTCACTGTGAATTAGAGGTTTCCCACAACCCCACCTCGGGTGTGATGATTTGCTAGAACTGAGGGAAACACTGGCTTAGGTTTACCAGTTTATCACAAAAGAGGTGATAAAGGATGCAGATGAACAGCAGGTGAAGGGTCTGTGGGGCAAGGGCTGGGTTTTACTCCTGTGGGGTTTGGGGAGTGCTCTCCTTCTCGCAGGTGGATGCGCTCACCTACCTGGAAGCTCTTCAAACCCCTACTTTAGGGACTTTTATGGAGATTCCATCACGTTGGCATGATTAATTAAATCTCTGATCATCAGCAGTTAACTCAACCTCTGGTCCACCTTTCCTCCCTGGAGATCAGGGGCGAGGGTGAAGGTTCCAACCCCCCAGTCCCACTGCTGGCTCCCCAGGCCACCAGCCCCCTGTCCTTAGGTGCTTTCCAAAAGTCACCTCATTAGCGTGAACTCTGAGGTTGGAAGGGGCTTGTTATGAATTATAAAGGATGCTTCTTTTATCTTTATTTTTTGGAGCCATTTCAAGAACTGAGGACAAGAATATTACAACAAAAGATGTTTTCACCTTTTATTTTAATTTTTTTAAAAAAGATTTTATCTATTTTTAGAGAGGGGAGGGAAGGGAGAAAGAGAGAGAGAAACATCAATGTGTGGTTGCCTCTCATGTGGCCCCCACTGGGGACCTGGCCCACAACCCAGGCATGTGCCCTGTCTGGGAATCAAACCTGCAACCCTTTGGTTCGCAGCCCGTGCGTGCTCAATCCTCTGAGCTACACCAGCCAGGGCTGCTCTCACTTTTTTAGCTCTTGTTTTAGGAAATGCCAAGTGTTTGGGGAACCATGTGCCTAAGGACCGGGTTGAAGACCAAATAAATATTCCCCACCCTAAGTCACAGTGTCAAGTGCTCCGAGCCCCACAGGGGTGGTGGTATGACCCACTCGGTGCAGAGTATCAGGCGACATGGGTGTCATCACCAGTGATGTGCACCTCGACTGTGTACCAGCCAGGATTCCCTTGGAAAGTGATCAGTGTTTCCTCCAGAATCACTGAATGTTTGGGGGAGACTGTGCGTCTGGGTAGACACTTGAGTTTTCACAAGGATTTTTGCCCACTGGTTTTAGTGCTTATCTAGCTGAGCGATGACGGGTTATGGCCTTCTGACTGGTAGCCAGTGGGTGGCTGGTCAGGGGCTCCAGGGGATGTTTGCATCGTGAGCGCGGCCGGGCCCAGAGTCCGCCCTCCTCAGTGTGTGGCCCCTCAGGGCTCCGCAGAGTTCGGTGGTAGCCCAGGTGGCAGCCTGGTGATGGAGCGAGCGCAGAGGACACTGAGCCCCGAGTTTGTCTTCCAGTTTGAGCGGTGCATCCCCATTCCTGGGGGAGACCAAGCAGGAGACCCTGACCAACATCTCCGCCGTGAACTATGACTTTGACGAGGAATACTTCAGCAACACCAGCGAGCTGGCCAAGGACTTTATCCGCCGGCTGCTTGTCAAGGACCCCAAGTAAGCACAGGCTGGCCAGAGGGGGTAGGGGCAGCCCTGCAGGGAAAGCTGAGTGAGTCTCCCTGGATGGGTGGTGTGGCCAAGAAGACAGCCATCCAAGCCACCACTGGCTTCTTCTTTGGGTTGGAGATAGTAATGAATGGCTTAAGTTGGCCTATACTGTGTCTTAAGAAACTTTTAATTTATTGCCAATTTTTTTAAAAAATTGATTTTAGAGAGAGAGAGGAAGGAAGAAAGAGAGCAAGAAAACAATGATTTATTGTTCCACTCATTTTGTATTCATTGGTTGGTTCTTGAATGTGCCCTGACCGAGGATTGAACCTGCAACCTTGGTGTATCTGGATGACATGCTGACCAACCGAGCTACTCGGCCAGGGCTGTTGCCAACTTTAAAAATTGGGATTTTATATAAAATTCTAGATTGCTACTTTTTTTGTTTGTTTTAAATTCTCGGAATCCTAGCATCACAGAGCCTCCGTGCGTGGGGAGGTGCCCTCTGGGCCGCAGCCCTCCCCCGGTCTGTGCTGCCCGTTGTTTTTTTAAAAAAGAGTTTATTTATTTATTTTTAGTGAGAGGGGAAGGGAGGGATAAAGAGGGAGAGAAACAGTAACGTGGGAGAGAAACTGATTCATTGCTTCTAAGCGCCCCAGCTGGGGACCACACCTGCACCCCAGGCCTGTGCCCTGACTGGGGATGAAACCAGCGACCTTGCATGTGGTGGGACGTGTTCTAACCAACTGAGCCGCACTGGCGTTGCCCGCCCGTGGGCGCCTGCGTTGTCTGACCCCAGCATTAGATCCTGACCCGTTAACAAAACCTCTCAGGGAACATGGAAACCCCAGAACCTGCGCCCCCAAAGGTGGCTTGTGGTTGGCTGAGCAGAGTGGACGCTCTGGATTGTGTGTGTCATCTCGGGTCATTTCAGGGACTCGCTTCCAGGCTGGAGGGTGGCTTCGAGGCCGGGGGTCCTCAGGGGCAGGTATCTGAGTCTGCCCTCGGTGGGGTGCTGAGAGTGGAACTGCGGCAGGGAGAGCCTGGAAAACCCCTGCCCTGCCCTCTGCTCCATTTTGGGGAGGGGGTTGCAGGTGACGCACTGAGACTAACCAGGGCTTGCCGGGGGCGGGGCTCTTCCAGGAGGAGGATGACTATCTCCCAGAGCCTGGAGCACTCCTGGATCAAGGTGAGGTGGGGTGCTGCTCCCACTGAGGGACGGTAGACGTGATGAGCCCTCAGCATCCAGGGAGGGTCCCCAGAGCCGTGGGCCTGGGCGGTGGGGGTGGGGTGGTCCCTCTGCGCATGCAGCAGGGCTCCCTCTTGCAGGAACTTTGCAGAACGGTTGCCTCTAGGCCAGAGTTGGCAGCCTTCTTTACTTGTTATTTATTTATTTATTTATTATTTTAAAAAGATTTTATTCATTTTAAGGGAGAGGGGAAGGGAGGGAGAAAGAGTGGGAGAGAAACATCAATGTGTGGTTGCCTCTCGCTTGTGCCCCCACTGGGGACCTGGCCTGCAACCCAGGCATGTGCCCTAACTGGGAATCGAACCGGTGACCATTTTGATTCACAGAACACTGAGCCATACCGGTCAGGGGACAGCCTTCTTTAAAGGGCCGGTTAGTCAGTATTCTTGGCTCTGTGGTCCCTGGCGTCAACACTCAGCTCTGCCTTTGTAGCAGCAAAACACCAGGACCATCGTACGCAAATGGGCACATCTGTGCCAATAAAACTTTACTTACAAAAGCAACTGAATGGCTGGATATAGCTCTCGGTGGTCTACCTACCCCCTGCCTGCTGTTTTAGGCTGTGTCCTCTGTCCTGCAGGCGATCCGGCGGCGGAATGTACGGCGGGAAGACAGCGGCCGCAACAAGACGGAGCGGCGGCGCCTGAAGACGGCCCGTCTCAAGGAGTACACCATCAAGTCCCACTCAAGCATGCCCCCCAACAATACCTACATCAACTTCGAGCGTTTCTCCAAGGTGCTGGAGGAGGTGGCAGCGGCTGAGGAGGGCCTGCGCGGGCTGGAGCACAGCCGGCGGCAGTTCCACGAGGACATTGAGGCGCTGACAGCCATCTATGAGGAGAAGGAGGCCTGGTACAGGGAGGAGAACGAGAGCATTGGCCAAGACCTCCGACGGCTGCGGCAGGAGCTGCACAAGACCGAGGCACTCCAACGGCAGGCCCAGGAGGAGGCCAAGGGCGCCCTGCTGGGGGCCAGTGGGCTCAAGCGCCGCTTCAGCCGCCTGGAGAACCGCTATGAGGCCCTGGCTAAGCAGGTGGCCTCTGAGATGCGGTTTGTGCAAGATCTAGTGCGTGCCCTGGAGCAGGAGAAGCTTCAGGGGGTGGAATGCGGCCTCCGCTAGGGCTGCCCGGGGGGTTGGCCCAGAGGGTTCTGGTAGTGGGTGCCCCCTTGACGGCCCTAGGGCCAGGCCCCTCTGTCACCCTTACCTAGAGAGTTCCTGGGCTGGGGCTGAGGTGGGAAGAGGTTGGACTGGGACCTGCTCCCTGGGGCCTGGGAATTCCCTGCTGAGGGGAGGGGCTTGGCAGGACCTGGGCCTCGCCACACAGCCTGTCTCCCCTCTGGCTCAGCCTCCTTCTCCCATTCTCTCAGCAGTGGTGACTGGTGGGGGTGGGGGGTGCTTCTGGGCTAGTGTTAACCTCTAGAACTCTGTGAGCTCTCTGCAAGGGGTTGGTACCTCCAAGATGGAATTGGCCATGGCAGACACAGGTGCTTCATGCCCGGCCCAGTGGCAGGGCGGCAGCCTTCATGTCCTGGGTCAGGGGGCTGAAGGGCAGTTGGAGAACTCGCAGTTTGGCCTGGGCAGCACTCTCAGGCCCTCCCTGCCCATCTAAGCACACGCAGCCTCAGGGAGGGTTTCTGAGGGCCCCTGCATGCCCCAGGGCTTGGAATTGGAGGGGCCTCTGCTGGACACTGGCCCCTCCTAGAGATGGCAGCAGCCCCTGCGGGGTCAGTGGTGGAGGCTGCCACTGGGCACCACAGCCAGAGATGAGATGATCTAGCCCTTAAGGAGGTGTTGGTCTGGAGGTAGTATGAGGGTGGGAGGACCTGTGGCTAAGCATGTTGCCAGGACACAGTAAAGAAAGCATCTGCAAAAGCTGAGTTTCTCTCTCTCCCTGAGGCCCAGAAGTCCCTGGGCGCCAAGTGAAACAGGTCTGCTGGGGCCTGGGGACAGGAGAAAAGAGCTGCCGTCCACCCACAGTCCCCCCCCAGTGGGGCAGGTTGTGGAGCCGTCCCCTCTCCGCTCCCTCATGATGCCAGGTGCAGGCGTCTCATGACACATAGTCCCTGAAGTGCCAAGCCCACCAGTGGGGTCCTCCCCTGCCTGGGTATCTGGCCCTGCCCCTCCAGCCTCTGCCTCGCTTCCTTCTCCAGTGCTGACTTTTGAAATGTTAGGGCTCCAGCATCATCCTCCCCAGAGAGCCCCTCAGACTCTGAGCTGCCCCGTGAAGGGAGAAGTCCATTTGACTGACTGCCTCTGCTGGTTCCCAAGCACATGTGGCTAGAAACCCTGGACCAGTACAGGGTGGGAAGGGGGTTGCAGTGGGCAGTGCTCTCGTCTGCCACTAGGGGCTGCCCTTGAGCAGGCTCTTGTACCACTTACCCGAAGTGCACTAGGTAAGGTTCAGGCTCTAACAAAATGTGGGTCCCTATCAGGTGGCCACACTGAGCTGGGAATTCTCTGCTGCAGGTTAGGTTAAGTGAGTGACACCTTTATAGATCAAGTGCAGGAAGGAACCAGGCAGGTAAGACTTCCATTCCTGCTGAGGCTGCTGGCCAGGGCTCCTCCTACCAAGACACTGCCAGGCTGAGGCACTGGTGGAGGGGTCTTAACACTGTTTGCAGGTCTGTCTTCTGGGGCTGGGGTGGGACCCCCTGTACCTCCTCCACAAGCTCTGTTGCATAGTGTATGCCATCTCTGCAAGTTTATGCCTGCCATGAGCCAAAGGAAATAAAGCCCCATTCTGACATCCAGCTGTAGTCTGTGCTTGGGCCCGGTGGGGCAGGCAGCCTTGGTTCACCTGGTGCCGTGGCCTGTCTGGGTTCTGTCTCTCTCCCTGGTCTGCTGCCTGTCCCCGTGCTCCTTGGGAGGAGGAAGGCAAACCTGGGGTGTGACATCAGAGGCTGCCCCGGTCTTGGGGCTCAGCTGGACTGTTCCTTTGTTGCAGTCAGATGGAAGTATGGACTCAGAGGGGTTTCTGTCGCTCACGGCTTCTGAGACGCTGCACTGTGAGGCCGTGTGTGGGTTCCCCTGCTGTGCTCCAGGCACCAGTGCACAGGTGGCCGCCCTGGCCTGGAACGCTGCACCCTTGCTGGTCCTGCTGCTGCTCCGCACAGCCTCTGGGTATGAAATGTGGCTCGAGGGAGGGGTCTTCTGACCCTTAAATTCTTACCAGGAACCGAGGTTCTGAGACTTTGGTAGCCCTTGATCCCCCTTCTGTTGATTCATTCATTATACCAAGGGCCATATTTCTCCTTGTTTTTGTTTTTAGACTTTATTTTTTTTTAATATTGAAATAACACTATGAAATTCATCCTTTTTTATCTCTTTTTTTGGTCAACAACTTCCACTTTTAAAAAAAAGATTGTATTTATTTATTTGTTAGAGGGGAAGGGAGGGAGAATGAGGGAGGGAACATTGATGTGAGAGCAGTCGCCTCCTGTACACGCCCTGACTGGGGACCTGGCCCACAACCCAGGCGTGTGTCCTAACTGGGAACCAGTCTGGTGCTCATCCTCGGAGCCAGGGCAACTTCCACTTTTAAAATTCCGATACATTTCAGCTCATTGAATTCTCAGACTTACTCAGGTTTCTCCAGTCGGTCCACGCCTGTCTTTTTAAAACTGGGTTGTCCAGCCCAGGACCCAGTGTGGCCTGTACATGGTACCTGGCTGTTAGGTCCCTCAGGGCTGCAAGGCCGGGCTCTGAGCAGCAAATTCCCAGGCTTCACCAGTCAGCGCATGGTGGGAAAGGGCACCCAGGTGTGTATAATTTGTGGAAGAGCGATAGGCCATAGTATGCTCATGCCACCTGCCTCCATGGAAATGCAGGAGCTTCTGTGTTAGTGCCACAGGGTCTCCGGACCCTGAGGTGAGTAATTACCCGGGGACTGGAGTTCCTTAGGGGACCAGTAAGTGGCATTTATCCAGCCACAATTCGCTAAGTCCCACTGCATTCTGGGCAGTATGTCAGATGCTGGGTGACCATGTCTGCCTTGAGGGCGGAGGAGGGGTATTCAGCCATCCAGCCTTTCTGATTAAGACTGGGTTGAAACCAGAGTTCACTTGGACTCAGCATGCAGGGTCTTTCAGTATGCAGGGCCCACCATGACGCAGTGCTCAATCTGCAGCGTCTTTCAGGGACTGGCAGGAAGTTACCTTGCTCTGGAGATGATTTCTGCATCACTCTCTTGATATGGGTTATCTTCAGTGGCTCGGCTCGGTGCAGCCTCAGTTTACTCAGTCTGCCAGTAGAGGGCATGCGGAGCCACTGTGGGGTCATAAAGCACCTCACCAGAGTGTCTGACCCATAGAAGCACTTAGCGAATAGCACCGCCCACTGCAAAGCCTGGTGGTCTAGTACACTGTTGTTCATGAGGACTGCAACAGGCAGACTGAGATGTTCCCCAAGGACCCCTGCCTCCTGCTGTTCGCTCCCTTGAGAGTAGCCTGGCCTAGTGGCAGGTTCTACCCAACAGGATTCAGCAGAGGTGATAGAAGTCACTTCCACAGTTAGGCTACCTTGATGGTGACTTCCGTTTTGCTGGCACACTCCTTTACTGTGTTAGATGAAGCCAGCCGCTATGTTGGAAAGGCCCACATGGCAAGGAACAGCCAGCAAGGACTGGAGCTCACCAGCTGCAGAAGTGGTCTTAGAAGTGGATCCTTCCCTGGGGGGTGAGGGGGCTGTGGCTGCAGGTACCAGGTCCCAAAGTGTGGGATCTCCCAGTGGCTGGGGGATCCCTGGTCCCAGCCCTCTGAGTGGAGACTGATGGAGGTGTGATAGTGGGTCATTATGTTTTCACCATCAAACCTCAGAAAGTCTGCAACCAGAGTGCCATCCAATGTTTGGAGCATTGAGTGCATGTCAAGTTTAGGCAAGGCAGACACCCACCGGCATCAGGTCCAAGTGTTCCCCCAGAACATCTTCTGCAGTGTTGTCAATGCTAAAAACCCTCCTTGTTTCTCGTGGAAATTCTCACTCAACGGTTGCTACTTTATTGCTTCCTCTTCAGACCAGCCATCTCAAAATCTGTGAGTACCAGGGCCGTCACGCAGCTGAGGTCCTCCTGTGGGGCTATGAGGGGAGGTCCTGTGCAATGGCAATGACCAGTGGTCGTCCACATTTGCGGTCAGCTCTTTACCCTGCTGGACGTTACCCACATGGCGGCCGATGGTGAGCGCCTGCAGCATGGGTGCCGCCTTTTCTTTGGCAGCTGCCAATGTGTTGTCATGGGCTCAGCTGCCTACATCCCAGACCAGCCTCACCCTCCTGGTCAGGGGTGTGTTGGAACAGTGAACCTGTGAGCCCCAGCCCACAGTCCCCTCTGGAGGACTGTCTGCTCCACATCATGGACCCCCACACTGGCTGCTCGTGTGGTGCACACACCTCCTGGGGTGATAAGGTGGTCCTGCCACACAACCGGGGCTGTGTGTGTGCAGAGCTCCTGGCCACCCCGTCAGTGCAGCAGCAGGCCGTCCACATCTTCAGGCGAAGGCACTTCTGTTGATGTGAGAACCATTGGCTGCTTTGACTGTGAGGACGGCCTACTCACCGCGTCAGCTGTTTTCTCTGAGATACAGTGGGACGATCAGACAGGCGTGGCCATTTTTTCAGGGACCCCTTCACCAACTCCCTGCAGCATCATCTGCTCATATACTTGTGCTGCTGCTGCGCAGAGCAGGGCAGGGGCGCAGTGGCCAAGAGGCGCTTCTCCCAACACTTGGACCAACTGTGGCAGCTGCGCGTGTGGAAAACTGCTTCTGAACGAAAACCATCTGTGTATCAAGTCCGCTAGTGAGCGTTGTAGCAACCCTGAGGGTCGCAGATCCGTCACAGGCCTCTTTGTTTTTCCTATTTAGTTTTTTAAAAAGATTTTTATTATCTTACTAAAAGAGAGAGGGGAGGGAGGGAGAAAGAGAGGAAGAGAAACATTGATGTGAGAGAGAAACATTCATCAGCTGGCTCTCTTGTGCACTGACCAGGGACCAAACCTGCAACCCAGGCATGTGCTCCAACAGAGAATCCCAACCAACTGAGCCACACAGGGCTGTTTCTTTACTTTTCAGTAAGTTTAAATCCTTGAGGGGTACAGCATTACAGGGATTCTGTGTTCGATGGCCTTGGCAGGAAGGCTGTTTCAGATTTAGCACAAACCTGCCAGTTTCCAGGAGCACGAGTTACCTTTCCCCAGATGACTCTGGTTTTGTTCGCTTTGCCACCAGGAGTCACTGTGTTGGTCTTTGCTTCGTGCACAGAAGCACATCTCTTGTCTAGACGGAATTCAGTTTCATCTCGAGTATGAACGCTTTCAATTTTAAGAGGAGCTGCATGCTCCCTCTGATTCCAGAGACCCTATGTACAGCTGGTGAAAGTGGCCTCGGACCACCGCCTTCCAGACGTGTTTGTCCTTGTAGAAGTCCTCTTCCCAGCAGGCCCCCGAAGATCATTGCCCCCACTCACCTTCATCACAGGCATCTTTCTTTCTGGGGTGCAGTACGGTGACAACAGGTGATCACTGCATTTGAGAATACGTCAGCTGAGCTTGTGGAGGGCTTCGAGAACTGCGATCGCTTCTGCAGTGCCACCCTGCACGGTGAGGTCCAGCTTCCCCGCTCAGCTTCCAGCAACAGCTTTGCGAGGCAGACCCAGCGCTGGCTCAACGACTCTATTGTAAATGCCAAGTACAGAGGGCACACCAAGGCAGCACTCAGGCTGCTGGGTCGGGGCCCCCCCAGTGCCCAGTCTTACAGGACTTAGCCCCTACCTTGAAGTGTCTCTCTTCAGCTATCACGACAAGTGGGTGTCGGTCATGGAGCAGCCCGAGGCTTGTGGAGATCACCGTTTCAGGTTTTACACCCAGGACTCTGGTCTGCTCAGCTTTCAGGTCCACGCAGGCTCACTGGGCCTCCCCACCAACCACGCAGGACAGTGACTCGCTGCCTCCACCTTTCACCTTTACCAGCCCTTTGCAATTTCTGTGCAGAGGACTAATGCTGAGTATGCTGTCAACTTCTACAGGCGACGCCACTGCATGTCGGTGCCTCACCCAAGCCAGGTTTCCTGCCGTCTGCGACTTTTCTTATCTCTAAAGCAAAAGCCAAAGCTTCTGACTACCAGCGTTGTGGGGCCCAAATTGGTAAACTTCTGGTGGGAAGAGCAGGGGAGAGGAGTGAGGGCGTCTCAGGCTGACTGACTTTTTAAAACCACATATAAAAACCTGATGATTGATTTAAAGTCCTCTTGATATTTCCCTGTGGGAATGTCCAGCTCTAATTAAGTTGTCTTACTTTTTGTTCTGTTTTGCATTTTATTGCTATGAAGGTGAGAGCATTACACCTTTATCTCTTCTCTGGCATTATGGTATGCTTCTGAAGCAGGTGAATCTTGTTTACTCATGAAAACTATGTAATCTTTTCTACTTAGCCAACAAACGGGGCTACCTTTTTAAACATTTTTATTTATGTATTTTCAGAGAGAGGGAAAGGGAGGGAGAGAGGGAGAGAAACAATGCGTGGTTGCCTCTCACGTGGCCCCCACCGAGGACCTGGCCTGCAACCCAGGCATGTGCTCTGAATGGGAATCGAACCGGCAACCCTTTGGTTCTCAGCCTGCCCTCAGTCCACTGAGCTACAGCAGCCAGAGCAGGGCTATCTTTATAAGAAAACAAAATAAAGCCATGTTATTTTCTTACTGAAAAAAAACAAAAGGAAATAGATCCTTCCCCATGTGAGCCTTTGGATGAAACCTAGCG